TGTTATTTGAATAGCTAAATGATTAGCTTGAAAAATGGAAAGGAACTAGTAATATGTCCTTATTTGTTCTTATATTCGTTATATATATGAAAGGTTGTTTTTCATAAAGATTTTGGTGATTTTCACCCTRCAATAACATAAATAGGGTAACTCACTAGACCTTTCGGTCTAACCCTCGWTTTGTGATTTTAACTATGTATTGCAGAAGGTTTGCCAAATTACACAATCTTGCAGATATAATACATCTGTATTCTTAATGCTCTTCCTGAAGCAAGACAAGAAGCAACGGAAGCCAGATTATCCTCATTATAATAGTGACAAAACCTGATTATTCTATTGATACTATAATTGTCAGTATTTAGCTTTATCATTTACTCTGATTATCATTAGGATGCATAACCATCAAGATCATCATCAGGAAAACTATTGTTAGTATCTAGCTTTGTTACATAGTGGTTTCAATTAAGGAAGACGCTGAATGATTCGAGGGTAGTATTTAGGAAGACACTAAATGATTCATGGGTAGTGTGGAAAAAGACATTCACTGATTCCAGGATAATGAGTGCCCTAAGAAGAAAATGCCCAAAGGTTTAACATCAAATCCAGTAATACTACCTGTGCTGTATTCTCATGATTCCTAGGCAACGATGTCCACATGTCTTGTCACGTTGTCGAGGACAAGAGATGGTTTAACCTAGACCCTTCCAATGGTTAGGTAGGAATGTGCCTTTTGATGGATATGCTCATTTACATTTTAACATAGTGCACTTCTATTTTATGGATAGAAGTAAATAAAATGAAATCATCCTAATCCCTATTACTTGTAGGACTCATTAACGTCTTATTATCTTATCTCATAAAAAGAATTGTTGGCATTACAAGAACTTTAAGTTAACTGAAGTAGTATATATCAAATTCTTATAACCAATGCTGCATCACATGCTGCCTGATTTTGTCAGGTTGAAAGTTAACATAACTGTGATTGGTCTAGTTCAGCTGACATCCTTACCCAGGTTTAATAACTGACCATTTTAAACATATCATAAATGTTCCATTGAATATGTATTTACTTTGTGCCCCAATTTATGCAAGCAAAGAGCCAAAAACATGTTCATGACAAACATATAGAGGGAGGGAGGGAGAGAAAGAGCACCTTCTCAAACTGAATTGGGTTCATCCTGAAACCTGGTGGCAGCTTCTGGTGGCACAATTTTAACTTCATGATCAAATCGTTTATTACAGCAGAGTCATCAATTGATGCAGTGGACATACTAGTAGCTTTTTCATCCGTTACAATCTTTACATCTTTCTTGGGTTCGAAATCAGGGACGATCACTTTGCTAACAGCATCAGCACACTTGGAAGGAGACTTCACCCAGTCAGGAATTGGAATGCCATATGTTTCTGCTCGTAGTATAGATGCTGCCATAACAAAGTGAAGATGGCTTTGGTCCTCAACAGAGAACTGCAGGGGGCGAGGGAAACGTTTGGGGGCTGACCAGAAAGGTGTCCCGCTACTGTTAACAGCATCCTCCGGGAAAGTGTAGGTGAGCTGTTTCACACGATTAGCAAAGTAGTCTTCAAACCTGATTACAGATATACAATGAGAGCGCATGAGATGATGATGGCAAAATGTTAAATAGATGTACTAGTACGAAGAAAAGGACATTACTTTAGGCGGGCCCACGTTATGCAGTCTATAAATGATTCGCATCGCTCCTTTTCTAGGCATTCAAGGACACGATCCAAGTTATCCCTTGCCTGGGCATCACCAGCTTTTTCCATTGCAGAAGTATATTCACTTGGATTAGACAGATATGCATTTGCTTCAGCTGGTGTCTTCTCAAGCAATCCTTCAAACTCTGATCGAGCCCATGTCAAGCAGTGGTCAATATTGTGCGGGAATGAATGCACTGTACACATGGGTGCTTGCTTCTCAGGTGGGTCCCTAGAGGCACCATAGTTCTCTGTCAAGTGGGGGATAACCATCTGTGTGTTACACTTGGCACCTAAAGTTCCGGACTCTAGAAGTGGTTTCTGAAAATACAAGCACCTCTGATCAATGTAGAGCCTTGCAGTCACATTGTCCAGAGCATTGACAACAACACTAAGATTTTCCCAGAAAGTATCGTCAAACACGTTTTCAGTATCAGGGCTGGCGCGATTTTGAAGTGCCTCAATATGAAGACCAGGGTTTATCAAGGAAGCAGCTGTCGCAGCAACAGTTGATTTAGCTTGCCCAATGTTCCAATCTCGAAAAAGGAACTGCCTGCTAAGGTTGCTCTTCTCAATAACATCATCGTCAGTAATTGTTAGCTTCCCCCCATTACCACAAGAAACCCCCATCAATGCTAAATTTTTCAAAAATTCACAGCCCAGTGCACCAGATCCCACAACAAAAACTTTAGCTTCCTCTAATTGTTTCTGCAGCTTAGCCCCAAACACAGAGATCTGAGCATCATAACGACTATTTAAAGGCTTCAAATCATTGGGATCCAAGGGCTCAACAGGAAGAGACTCAAGGGAGTCAAAATAGAAAAACTGTCCACCAAAAAGGAAATAAATAAGTCTTGGTAAGACGGATTGCACACTCTAAGCTCAGAAAAATCTAAACATAAAAAAGAACAATATGAAGAGAACAAACCTGAAGCAGTGGATGGAACTTCCCAGAGCAAGCCTTAACAACTTCCTGTCCAACAATACCACCAAACATGGCCGCCATGGGATTCAACACAGCCCTTGCACCAAATGCGAAGTTTCGAACAAGTTTCTGGTCAACATCTTCAACCTTTCCATCTTTCAGTTCACTGTTCATGCTGGTTACCAAAGAAATCAATTTCTGAGCATCTTCTTCAGATCCAGCAACAGGATATCGGCCCAACTCAGATACAAGCTTATCCAATGCTTGAAACAACAAATGTAAGAGTGGAGGGCGATCAAATTTGGAGAAATCACTAAGAAGAAATTCACCAGGATTTGTAAGGGCTTCTTGCAATGGCTTAAATTTCAACACCTTTGGTTGTTTCAACTGAGTGACAATTCCACCCTTCGTATATGTACCATACTTTGTGGTATCTTCTTCAATGCTGAATGAGTAAGGCTTTGCGTTTATTACCTTTCTTGGCTTCCCATCATTTAGTTCTGACATCCCATGAACTTCAGAAAATACAACTAGATCTCCATCCTGAAATTCAAGCCTCTCATCATCTACACAAGTGATGAGAGGAGGGTTATCATTGCTTATGGATGCAATAATGCCTGTGTGTGGATCCTCTCCATCTACATCAGAAACGGTGAACTTAGGGCCAAAGTCACAAAACACACTACCAAAAAGACCTCGTACTTCAGATTTTATAAAAGCAATCGGAGGCTCGTGTCTATGGCAGAAATTATCAAATTCAATTGCTTTCTCCAAGCTAATATCTGTGAACACAACAGCCTGCAGCAAGTCCAAATAAAATGTTATCAACAAAATCAATAAGCATATAATACAACAAAAGTCAGTAAGTAGGGTACAGTAGACTAGAGGACACAAGAGCAAAGAAAATTCACCATACTTGCGCACAGAAAGAGAATGCAAAATGTACAAAGATGAGAGCATGACAGAAAAATTAGCCATTATTCCAATTGTCTAATTCAATATCCTCTGTGCCAAAAGAATGAGCTGTTTGCTCAAAAGTAGAATTTAAGAAACTAGCAGCTGAGATGTAAAATCTTTAAAAATATATCACCTACAATGATTCGTATGCATTTTTGTCTCAAAAATATTATAGATTGTATTCAAATAGATTTCAGAAATGATAGACGTGTGAAACATATTGAAAAAAAGATTGGAAAAAGAGTGTAGAATCCTGGTAGAGCTTAAATTGTAACAGAAATCTAAGAGAATGAGAGAAACAATTGTAAACATTTCGCCAATCTACCTGTCTACGACCTAGGGAGGACTGAATTCAAAGTTTTGATGTTTAGAAGCAATAAATATATTTCCGTAGAACCATCACACCATAAGTGTGAGGGCATCATTAGCTTAGACCAGTTTCACTGTCTGTCTATTTGTACACCAGAAAATGGTTCGGTAGTCAACTAGTAATAATGATTATGTATGCATGGAACAGAAGAAGAAAAAAGACTGATAACCACCACAATTTTGTGATAATTCATAAAGTACCCAAAACATGACTTTTTTCTTGAAAATATCGACAGATCTGCAAGTAAAAATTGGAGCATCTAAGACAAAGGTAGCTAATAAGTGCAAGTGAGCAAGCCCTTAAAAACTTTATAGCATGTCAACTGAAATTTGACGCGCCTTCTTGGAAGTAGACACAGAGCTCTCACTGGGATGTGGTTAATAGCATCTCAAAACAAACAAAATGTTGAATGGGCCGAGGAGTACACTGGTTCCTCTCTTAGAATGGAGGCATCCAAAACAGTACATACTATAGAGCCATAAAGTTCTAATCCATACAATAAAGCTACACGACCAGGTTACAGAGGGAGGGTTAAGGATGATAGCAACTGTACCAGAAAAATGAGGTTAAATCTTGATTTGGCAACTCATGGAAAGACACAAGCAACAAAAATGAGAATTGAATATTATATCCAATCTCGAAAAAGCATACGATAGGATCACAAGGTGAGTTATATGGTTGACCTTGAAACAAAGAAAATCCCTACAAAGTACATTGATGTGGTTGAGAATAACTACAGTTGTTCCTAACAAGCGCGACAGAATGTGTTAGTGATACTAGTATCCCTTTATTTGAAACAAATATAAAAGCACCCTATGTTATATACTCTTCATCGATGAAGTAGTGCTACTTAATAGACAAACTAAGTACAGTCCATATTTGCAACTACAGTGATATGAGTGTGACTCGACAAAAGATGCCTTGCAAATATCATTATGCATTTTGGGTCAAATCATAGAAAGGAAGAGAAAGGATGATGAGAATGTTAGTTACAAGATAATAGCAAGGAGAATGATGTGGTGACAAGCACAGGAAACCTTATTACACTTAAGTTTCACTAGATTCCAAGGTTGACTTTTGTCACTCCAGAATAGCACCAATCAAAGCCAAGGAGAGTCGTGTCCCACTGATAGAATGGAAAAGGAAGAGCATCAATGTTTGGGGACAAAAAGCATTCACAAAAAAAAAACCAGGGAACATGTGCACATCGAGGTGGATGAGATGAGACATAACCATGGACAGGGTTGGCAATGAGAATTTGAGGCGACCCCATCAAAAGAGGAACTGATGCAACACTGTTGGGTTTGTTTTGTTCATCTTCAGCATATATCTTTAGATGCACAACTGAAAATGAACTGCAATTGATGTTTGGAATGCCTTAAGGAGCACGAAATGGAGTGGCTAACTAGAGATGTTTGATAGCATCTTTTAGGATAAACTATATGTTCAGTAAGGGGAGGAAATGTACATTGGTTCCTATCTTTAAGAATAAAAGAGACATCTAAAACAATAATAATTATAAGCTATCCGTGTTTTGATCCATATACTCAAGCTATAGAGCAAGTTTTTATGGATGACAAGTACATTTAAAAATCAATCTGGATTTATGCTTGATAACTTGAGACATGAGGTTAAATTCTTGATTCTACAACTCCTCGGAAGTGTTAGCCTTATATATATATATATCCTTGTATTTTTTGTATGGTATAAGGAACTAGTTTTATCATTTTTGAATGCCAGTTGCAGGGATAAATAATTTTGATTTCGCTGTGACGACGTAGAAACCACATGTAGTTTATTCAGGGTATTACTATATTTTGAGTACGCTAATATTGTCACCTTCGTATTCTACATGTAGGTATAAATACTTTGTGATTTCCCTATGAGGTTGTACATGGTCACATGTTGTGCATTCAAGATATTACCATGTCATTATATTTTTACGTCCGATTTTAACAAGATATTAATTGGTGTGTATTTACTATGATGTAGTACACAATAACATATGATGTGCACGTGATCACATAACAATGATTTCATCATTTACACATGAACATGTAATCATGTTCACAAACAACATGGTGGATGAGAAATGCATCAATCTAATGATCATGTACACAACCGCATGTTGCTCTAATATACATTTCCCATTATCACATATGTATATATACGAATGTGTGTGCACGTATAATGCATATATATATATGTATATATATGAATGATCATGTAAACAACCGAATGTTGGTCCAATATACAATACTATGATCATGTATAGGATCAAATGCTATGATCACATGTGACTGTACAATATCACATCTTTGTTGTCTGTATATTGATAATCCTGTACAGGATAATCAAAAACCAAGCTTTTGGCCTAAATTGTGTTCTTCATAGTTTCTAATCGATTCTCACCAAAGGATACAAGGAACAAAAAGGGATAGGAATGTTGTATGCAATCTAGAAAAAGCATATAATATAATGACAAAAAAGTTAACCCTGATGACAAATAAAGTACATTAATGTGATTAAGATGTATGGTTGTTGGTAACAAATGAGGGAAAATGTGGTGATGCTAGTCTCTCTATTTACATCAGACAAAGAAATCCCATGTTAAACCTTTCGTTGATGTAGTGCTATTTAACAGGGCAAATTGCATAAAAAGGGAATGTACTTTGTTACAGTTTCTGTTTTAAGGAACATACTTTTAAAATACACGTTCAAGGGTCCATGACTGACGTAACTTTGTTACCAAAAAAGAGACCGAGTGACCGGTATAACCGGTAATAGGTGCTAAAGTATTTAGTATAGTATATTATAAAAGATAATATATCAATATATATATACACACAACTAAACCCCCCCCCCCCCAAAAAAAAAAAAGAGCAGACACACACACCAAATGCTTCTTCTTCCCCCTGTAAATGCACTCACATAACATGACTCGATTTTCGAAGGGGATGAAGATGATGGTTTCTAAGGATGGTTGCCCCCTCTGTTCAAATCGAAGTCTGATTTGGCTTTATTTGGTCATCTCCTGAAATCCACAAACCTTCATCTCAGAAGCTCTTTCCAAACACACCAAATCTTACAGATCAATAGTTCCATTTTTTCGATTTGGCAGCCCTTGGTTACTTTGCTGGAAAAGAAGACTGGAGGGGGAGGTGGTGGGTTTATTTTGATTTGGATCTGAATTTGGTTGGTTTATGATTTAGGTTTCTTTTTAATGGGTATTTTTGGTTTTTTCGACGGTTCGTTTTTGGTATGTGTATTTGAGGTCGTCAGAGAAGATGACCAGAATGGATCGCCGAAGAGGGTGAAGATATCATGCTGGGACTCAGGACGTTGGGGATGCAAGGGGGTGGGGTGGGACCGGGTAAGTGCCTTAATAATGAAAAGATCAAAAAATAATGACAAATGCCACATCAGCGCTTAGTCGCTTACCTGTTATACTGGTCACCTAGGTCCTCCTTTTATTATAAAGTTATGTTATAGACCCTTAAATGCGTGTTTCAAAAGTATGTTCCCCAAAACAAAAATTGGAATAAAGTACATTCCTTTTTATGCAATTTGCCCATTTGACAAAACACAACCATAATAGAGTGCATAAGACACAACTTCAGTGGTGTCCGTCGTGAGTGGCTCAAGAAAAAATGCCTAACAAAGATATCATCCTACATTTGAGATCAATATTACAAGAAATAAGAAGAAAGAGTGATGGAGATGTTAGCCACAAGTAAGGGTGTTCATTTACACCACACCATGGGGTTTAGAACTTACACCGTGCGATTTGTGGTTTGCATTTTTATCGAACCGCACTTTGGGTATGGTTTGCAGTTTCAAATTATCAAACCACATTGCACTGCATATTTTTATATGTATTTATATATATAGTACACTATCATTAACTAATTTGAAATATGTAATACATTATATCATTATTTATTACTTTTCATGTTCTCATTTTAAGTATTAGAGAGTTCAGATTCCTCGTATCATTTGTGCACATCACCTTGCACTTCCTCCCTCCTACGACTCCTTACATGCATTTGGATTAACTATGGAACGCTTTAGTTTGTTTTAGAGTATTTTTAATTAAGTATATGGGACATGTTGTAACTTTTTATTGTATGGATGACTTTATTTTGAAGTTATGATCAATAACTATTGGATCAAAATGTGTTAGGTACAAAACCGCATAGATCAGCACCGCATTTTGCAATGCAGTTTAGGCATATGTGGTGTGGTTCATGGTTTACGAAAATGCTCAAACCCATATGGGGTGCGATTTGAGGTTTGGCCCTAAATCACACCACAAACACTTCTTGCCACAAGATAAGAGCAGGTGAATGAGGTGATGACAAGCATTGGGAGACCTTATGTACCTTGATGCGCTAGAGTTGAAAGGTGAGTTTTATCACAGAAGAATGATGCATTGACGCCTCCAATGGTCTGGTGCATGAATGTTCCGTCACAAAAACACACACATAGGTTCTATAGAACATGCAAAGGTTCAACTGGATGTGGTTAGACACAACCATGTATAGGATTACAAATGAGAATATTCAAGGTGATTTCAACTAAAGAGGATTCTCTGTACTACTTGGGTTGTTTTATTCATCTATCTTTACATGCACCTGTGAGAATAGACCAAATACAATTGAAAGAAGACACTTGTATGAGAGAAGGGAATTATTTGAAGAATCAACATCAATAGGAGAGCATGGACGAAACAAAGTCATTTTCCATTTGTTTCAAAAATAATAATTTATTAATGAGTACCAAGTTTACCCTACCCAACTAGTTTGCAAAAAAAGGCCTCATTGTGATCTCTTACTAATACAGAGCAATAGAGAAACGATCAGAGAAAAAAGTATCGTTCAAGACATAAGACAACGGCATCAAACAGTCCCAACTTGCATCATCATTGGTAGAGGCACTAAACAACCCTACTCCAAAAATGAAGGCCAATCAATAATGGAGGAAAGGGATTAGAAATGAGAGCCTGACATCAAGCCAAATCCTAATAGGCAAAACCACAAAACATAGAAAGAAGCATTGTTCTCAAGGAACAATACAGAGAAGTTCAACAAAGCAATGATAGTTGTCCACTGAAGTGATCACCAAACCATTTATAGAGATGTCAAGAAGTTGTTGGTACATAGTTTACTATACCTATTAAGACACTAGTCTATATCATCAACGGTGATGTACATGCTCATATATTGTGTTAGAAACTCATGATGGACAAGTTGTTTGGGTTTAAGGGAATATAATTTGGCTTACTCCAAAATTTATGATGGAAGTTTATTGAATTAGATATTTGGCTGAGGTTTAGTTTTATATTTGTGAGTAGCATTTATGAATGAACCATTGGTTGATAGTGTTGTTTAGCTATATGATGATAAACAAAATTAGAAACGAAAATTGAAGGCAAAATGAACCAGTAAATTAAAAGAATTGATCAAAACCATGAACTTGTAGGTTTTACACCCCGATATGGCAAAGGGTAAATGCTTCGTGTTGAAGTTCCGCATGCTCCAAACTAAATGGTAGATGTCTTTTTGGATAAAGAACTAAATGGGAGATGCGCAAATCACTAAATGAAGAACATTTTATTAGATCACTAGATCTAAAATAGTTCCATGAAGAGAAGCCCTCGAGTTATATTGCAAAGAAAATAAAGTACCAACCAAGGAAAAAAACAAACATGAAGATACACCTAAGAATTCCAAATACCGCACAATAATACTATAATGTCGAAAGTCGTTATTCATCATAAACTTTTGAACTTCATAAGCCATCTTAATGTATCGATATGATCAAAAACCTAACAATGAGGGATACCCAGAAAAAACAAAACACTTAACTAGGTTTTCTCAAACTTCTATTTACGAGTAATGAGTGCAAGCATTATAGTAATCAACTTCTTAATGAAATTCTAACCATCCTCACAATAAAGAGCTATATTCCAAAATGATAAGATTATACATCATACAGACTACAAAAACCCGACAATGAGGGATACCCGGAAACAACAAAACACATCACTGAGTTTTCTCGAACTTCTATTTACAAGAATGAGTGCAAGCATTGTAGAAATCCACTTCTTAATGAAGTTCTAATCATCCTCACAATAGAGAGCTACATCCGAAAATGATAAGATTATACATCCTACATACTCCATAATGGAATTTATAAAGCATCAAGGCAACTCATGCAAAAAAAAAAAAATAGAATAACCTAAACAAAAATCATCACATAAAGCAACTGTGAATAAAATTGTGGCGTTGAAAAAACCAGACCAGCTGGAACAGAGAAATCAAATAAAAAATGATCAAACTTTTGCATTAAAGAATGTTCAACAATCTTCAAAAGTATCAACATTTGAAACCAAAAAAAACGAAACATATACTGACAGTCTGACACATGTTGATAATCACCTGAAACTCAGACAGCTGCTCTGTAGTTAATTCAGTAGTTAAAGTAGAAATAACCACTGAATTGTTCAGTTCTTGCATTTTCTGGATAGAAGCAAGAGCTCTGTTCTTTCCCAGATCATCCTCCGTGAAAATGAAATTGCTAGCTAAATCCCACAACTCAACGGTTCCCTCATCATGCAATGTCACAGACTTGACACCAGCAAGAATAAGGTTCTTTGCTGCAATAGTGCATACAAATGCATAATTACGACATGCTATATATAAGCATAAGAAAAAATCTGTATAAAACACCCAACAGACAACTTCCAGGTAAGAAATAGAAATCTCCCATTTCTTGAGAACGCTGTTGTTAATGGTCCCAACAACAAAATGATGATGGCAAACAGAAGTTCATGCTATCATAAAAGCCAACAAAAGATCGAGATTAGGAAGTTAAGTGTTATTTTAGAAACAATTAATCATATAGAGGTCAAAAAGACTAGAATCACAGCCAATGTAAATCCAGTGACCAAGCCTATGCAATAACCTCCAAATTCATACAACTCGGGCTAAATTATGGCCATATGCATGTATAATGAAAGCAAATGCCACTCCTTGTATGTCCATGTATATACTTCTCTCTCTGCATGATTAATTTATTTCATTAACATTGATGCTAATATGGTTCTTAATTACTTACATGCACAGATATATTTGTAGTGTGTAGCCCTCTCCTCCAATCATATGCACAACATAATACAGATAGAGAAAAAGCTAACTAGTATCGTAGAAGCTACAAAGCAGCTCAATAAAATTAATACATCAAAGTAGAACATGTCATATACAGAACTCAATTTCAACATATATACATTCATAGACAGGCATATATATACCGCTCAGTAGACTCACCGATTTCAGCACCAAGGCCCTGCATCCCAGAGACTAGAATATTAGATGCAAATAGCCGCCTCATAGTCTCCCGACCATACACTGCAAGCTGTCGACTATGAAGATCCTCATCAATATCTGATTGGTTCCAATCACCACCAATGGGCAATTTACCATTGGTGGTACCATTAGGGTTGTTTCCTCCTCCCATGGTTGCTGCTGTCGAAGAAGTCCCGGTGCTTGTGCTGGCGGCGGCAGTGGGGGCAGCGGCTGACGAGATCAAGCTGTCAATTTTAGTTCTCTTGATCAAAGATTCATCCACTACTACCTCTCCTCCAGCTGATCTCTTTCCAGGAAGCATAAAGTCCGATGGTGAACTGTTTAAACCCATTCTTAGTCAAATGCCAATAAACACACACACACAAACCCCAATCGTATATATAACAAGCTTGAAAATAAATCTATCAACAAAATAAAGTCAATAAATAAACTAATTTGCATAAAATCATCACTAGGATACAAAAATTTAGACAACCTAGGGGGTTACAACACTTTTTATCTAATTCATGCAATTTCATTCTTGACTAGGACAAGACAAATTCACACATACATAGAGGGATCAACCTCTTGAAAACATATCTAAATTACAAATATATATATATATATATATATATATATATGATCAAAGCACAGAAAAAACGAGGATGAACTAATGGTGTTATATTCTAAAAAGTAACCATTTAACAGCAACAAAGCCCCAAATCATAACAATTTTGCTTAATTATAAACATATACGTACGTGAACTGCGATGAACTGCTTGAAACCATTTCGAAAATTAAGACAAGAAAATGGAAAAAATCAATTAGTTCAGAGTAAAGAATCTTGAATACGAACAATAAAGTAAGGGGTATGAGGAATTTATGTAATATATAACATAGAGAATGCGTAGAGAAATAGATTAGAAGGTGATATACGAAGAGTATAAAGCAAAGAATAATTTGATTTATTACCGATGAGATCTTTGAGGAAATGAACTGTGAAGAAAGCTATGGGGGCTGAGTTTCCTTTTTGATTCTAGGGTTTGATGAATTCTGTTGATGTGGAGATGATAGTGACAATGGCGGGGGGAGCGCTTTGATAACCTAAACCAAACCTCGAGGCTGTCTTCGGCTTCGGGTAGAGCCTAGAATGGGCCATCAACAAACAAAACTCTTGATTTACTTTGTATTTACAATTTTTTTTTGTCTTAAAAAATAATGAATTTTGAATTATCACTTAGGGGTTGTTTGTTTGGTTCACCGTTAAGAGCCAACATCTTAATCGGTAAGAGGTAAAGACTATTTGGTAAAGAAAAATAACCATCTTAATGATTACATAACCTTCTTAACCATTTTGTGTCTATGGCTTCACTCAACCATTCAAATATCATTTCTTCCTTCTTTACCCTTCCTTCCACGTCGCCTTCACTATCTTTCTCACTCATCTCTTCCAGCTTGAGCCACCAAACTCAACAATGGCGTTGTGCGACAAGAATCCAGCAAAACCATCGATGAGTCGTCCCCGCGGCATTCGAACTCTCTCCGATTTGAACCGCCCCTTCGCTCACGATTCTGACAGCGACTCAGATGCCCTTTAGGAGTACTATACCGGCGGCGAAAAGAGGTTTCCCTTCGATAACTTCCAAACCCTAGATTTCTTTTTCTTTCTTAATGATTGTTTAAATCCTGGATTAGTTTGTGACGATAATAGATTATTGATCATCGATCATCGATCATGTTGATTGAATCAAATTGAGCCTGCTGTATGTGCACTGAAATTTCATGGGGTTATGCACTGTATGTTGAAATTTCATGGGGTTATGATTTATCTTTTCAGAGGGTTAAAATGGTAATTTACTGTCATTCAGAGAACAGTTACCAAACAACATTATTTCATTCAACACTTAACCATTCTGGCCCTCTTAACCATTTTGGCCCTCTTAACCATTCTGACCACTTAACCATTCTGCACCAAACCATTCAGCAACTGCCAAACAGCCCCTTATTTATTTAACGAGGTTATTTGGCAGTTGCTGAATGGTTTGATGTAGAATGATTAAATGGTCAGAAAGATTAAGAGGATCTCATGATATGGTATAAAATAAAATATAATTGTTTGGTAATGGTTTACAATGAATTTAGGACGCTAAATGGTTAAAGGAGACCCATGATACAAAACCATTCAGAGGATTTTAGAACCATTAAGAAGCCGACTTTCTTTTGTCAAACAAGATTTACCTCTTAACGATTCAAATGTTGCCTATTAATTGAACTATTAATAGGTAAACAAACAACTCTTTAATCAAATTATACTTATCAAGAGGGTACCTATTAAATTAACAAAAAGAACTTTACAGAAAAAAAAAAAAACTCCTCAGAATCAACCAAAAACTCAGAAAAGCCCTCAAAATGGTGGAATTGATCTAAATATAGATTTGACAAACTTTGTGGATGTTTAATCCAGCTTGAAAGTACACTCGTTCAGCGAAATCTTGGGTCCCCCATTGCTTATAAAAAAAATTAAACGTTTCTAGCATTGAACATTGAACCGAGAATGAGGCATAAAGACCATGTTAGATGTTGATAATCATTGTATTATTTATCTGAGGTAAATAATTTTACTTTTATTTCCAATTGGTTTGTTGTGTTTGTGGGTGTAGGTTTTTAGACCAGCTTTCACTAGCCTCTGACTAATCATAAAGCCCTAAAGATAATAACCATGGAAATTATCAATTCCTTTGAAGAGACAAGAATAAACAACCACGATACACAGTCAACCTTGAAACCTCCATTGTTCAACATTGTATCATACTCAACATGAATCTAAGTCCCATGTAACAATATCATCATGACATTATTCACACAAACTATCATCAAGTACTTCACACTCGTATAGGCAATTACAGTTCTCATTAGGCAACATGGTCTCGTTTAGAAAGGATAATTGCTTACAATGACAAGCACAAGAACATCGACTATCATCAAAATTCAATTCATAGCTCCCCCCCCCCCCCAATTTGTTGTTGTTTTATCTCAATTCTTATTGAAGCATGAGCAGAAGAAGACTTAGTTAAGAGCATGTCTGCTTCATGACTCCGTTGTAATGGAAAAAAAACGTTCCTGAAGGATGCTACCGTATCGTTCCGTTGAGCATGCCCTATATTATTTGAAATTTCAATAATAACACAAGTTTTTCTTAGTATCATTGTTTTACATGACCATTACTTCTCTTCCAGATGTGTGTTTGAATCTTGTTTGTACCATTTTTCCTAGTTTTTAGATTCTAATTTCATGTTTATTATGTTTCTGGAAACAAATTGGGATAAAGTACTTATAAAAACATTCGAACATGGGATCTTGCATTCGTAACATAAAGACCAACAGACAGATCAATAATAATTCTGTAAAACATTTATGTAACTTTATTTCTTACAGTCATCAAATGATGGCATTGCTTGAAATTTTTTACTAGGTCCTACTTTGAGTATGAGAACTTCATAGTTGATGTTCCTATGACATGGAATCGTGGATATTAAATACATATATTTTGTATGGAACCTTTTCATAAATGTGGTTGTTTATGCTTGTATAATTTGAACATCAACTAATAACACATCAATCTACTTTAATTTAGTAACATGATAGTACAACAATACTATCATTGGCAATGTTATGTGAAGGGTGTTAACGGATATATGTTTCATATAACTAATTTGTGTTATCATATGTTGATTTAAATATTAGTTTCACTATGTTAGCTATGCATACATCCTATCTTATAATACCCTAATTCTAAGTGAAATGTATTGGGTTCATTTTGTTTGGTTTGTAAGCATACATTATCTTCCACCCCCTTGAATCCCATCATGAATCCATGAAGCTTCCATATTTAATAGGCTTTAACCATACATAATGTCGAAATCTATAGGAAAAATAGTTGAATATGGGGCATTCTTTAACTCATAAATATCATAATTATCTTTACCTATCATCCAAATAACAACAAGGTCAATCTATTTTTCTTAGAATCCTTGACATCCTATACTTGTTCTATTTGATATGTTAGATGAAATGTTCAAACTTATTTCGCTTGCATTGTATAACTTACCGTTAGAATTCATCATACTAACATAAATGCAACTTTAACCATTCCTATGTGATCTTATGTCCGGTTGTGAACAACAAATTCTTGATCAATCGACTCCAATCGAAAGATGATATATCCAACAACTCATTGTCATATCTACTGCAAAGTTGGTAAGGTTAGCATTTAGCATAACTCCATTGATTTAAATTGTTCTTATTAGATCAATTTCAATTGTTCTTAAAGAAAATTATCTATTATGTATGCCTTCAACCTCTTATCATCCATGTGTGATCCTAAAGCCAACTACTTAATTTCACGGGTTAATGTTATATTATATGTGTATACTCTCATAAACAATATGATCCCAAGCCCTGCATATCAACGAAAGATCAAATACCCAACAAACACACCAGAAATAAATAGAACCACAAATTTACTCAAAGTACTTGTCAACAACAAACCAATCTAAAAAAAAAACATACAACAATGGTGTTGGTCCCAGCTGAATCTACAAGAGTTATAGGATTAGTTTGTAGAAAGGGGAGGGGGATGAATACAAACACAAAAACTTTCACTTTTAAAAATTGTATATTGATAAAGAAGGATCAATAAAAAATTTACAGATTATTTGCGGAAAAGATAAGGTAAATAAACCTATCTAAACAATCTAAGGATACACATTATTACACCTAGCTAAGAGAAAAGATTTGTTGTAAGAATTAAAGACTTAGAAAAGTGTTCTTCACTTGTTTAAAGTGGTTCTTTCTCTTTAGAGAGAGAGTAGTGAGAGAATCTTGGGTAAGTTTCTTAGAGAGGAAGAGTGATAAGAACCTATAACTGAGTCGAGAGCACTCAACTATTTATACCCATTGCATTAAATGCAATTTAGAAGGTATAGAACACGTGTCCATATTTTGGAGGAAATCTTGTCCTTTGTTATAGTGAACAGTCCTATCGTTGTTCATGAGAAGACATCTTTTCATTAAGTAGGTAAGCACGATAGAGTCAACTGAGTGGCTCCATACTGTACTATACTCTAGAAAAGGCATGGGTTTGTCCTTAGTGTGTGGGAGGACAAGATAAAAATAATCGTACATGGTAAGCTTCATTCGATCATTGAATGCTAGGATGACACTGGAGGTCTCTTCAGCATTCGCTGAAACTTATGCAGTCTTCACACATATGTAGGCGAGCTTGTAATCACTGAATGCCGCTTCAGATCATGAACGTACTAGCCTCTAATCTTCAATTTTTGTCTTCGACATTGCTGAAGGTTCTTTGGTGTGAGTTTTGTCTTCTTGAAGTATAGCAGTCTCTGAAGAGTTACAATACATGTTCATCGATCATTGAATAGACTCAGTGATGATCGCTGAAATTGAATAAACAGAAATAGAATACTTCGATCGGTAAAAGGGATTATCATCAAATCAATGAGAGAGGATCAACAATCTCCCCTTATTTGATGATGACAAAGCAACATACATAAATTTGCCTAAGTTACAATAGTAAGAAAAAGTTACAAGTAAAGTACAAGTCCCTTTTAACTATTTTGGGATCTTTTTCAGTGATTCGGTTTTCTTATATAAGTTTGCTTAAGTTGTAAAGGATTATAAGTTTAAGAGAAACAAGTACAAGTGTGATAACTGAAACTGAAAGCATATTCACTTACTGAAAGTTGTCAGTGAATGTAAGAGTAAACTGGAACTCATAGATACATGTCCATGTTACTCTTTTCAGAGATCTTTTTTAGTGACACTGAGGAAATACTTATATTCATTCATTGGAAAAGTATAAGTGTTACATTAGTGAGTGTTGGACCTATTACATATAAGTTGTACACTAAAAGTAAAGAAAAAGAAAACAAGATTACAAGATAGGAAGTTTTAACTAATCTAGGTCGTTGAAGTTGATGTACCCATGTACTTCTTCTCCAAGCTTCTTTCGATGTAAATATTGCTTTCTGATCATGCGGTCTATCGTCTTACCATTTAGGTCGTTGTCCAACCAAGATCTTAGATATTCG